AAGACAACATTTTATGTAAATATTGTAAATGCAAAGCAGCATTGTGCCTAAGGTATTCCCCAAAGGAAGTCAAGGAGTGTGTTCCTTAGATCATAACTTTCTCTAAGTCCTTAAAGTAGTCTGAGGTCTGTGGCAAGTATAGAAATAGGTGACCTAGGAGATCAGAAAGTTTGCTTTCAGTGCCTCTTGACCATCCATTTGCACCACTTAACTCCTTATCTCTTATTCTAATGTAAATTATTTGATACTGTGGCTAAGCATAATCCGCTTGAAGTAGGATCATAAAACATGGCACGATCCCTTGGGAAGTCTGTTTGAAAACCCCTCATGCCATTGTTTCCTTGTAGGTATAAGTTCTTCTTACAAGCTTCTTGGATACCTGGTATATATTCAACATGTATTTTTGTTGAGGAAAGTTGAAATGTCACACAAAGTTTGTGGATTTTCCTCACAGTTTTTCATAGCTTCAGTGCATTTTTAGTTAATTATCTCCCTTCTAAAGTGATGTACTTTATGGTGTCTTTTTTTAACCATAGAAAGAACTTTTTTGCAATTTTTTGCAAGCTTTTTTAATTCTTGAATGCAATTCTGAAAGAAAGTAGGCACTTCTTACTTAAATATGTCAAAGTTTTACCCAGCTGTTAGCCAGTAAGTCATAAAAAGATTCCTGTGAGGTAGGCAGTGCATGTTATCTTTTATACATGCAGACATAGCACTATTGTACCACCTGAAATTCCATCAGGCTCCAAGCTCTGCAGAAAGTGACAAATGCTAGACAGGTAGACAATTTATAATGGATGAGGTATGCAAGCAAGCTCTGGGAGTTGGATTGGATTTGATTACAAACAATAACATGACACAATCCCTGCTGTGGATGGTACACACGTTGTGAGCAGCAGTGCAATCAGGCATCATGAACATCGGTCTGCAGGCATGATCCGGAGCCCTAAACCCACCTTTGCAGTACACCTACACTGTGGCTTTGGGAAATCCTTGTCTGATCTAACAGTTCTTCTTCCAATTCCCTGTCCGTTTGTTTAGCAACAGCATGTTAAACAATTATACCTCACTAAGCCACTTCAATGCAATTTATAGCTCAGCAGGATAGCAGGCTTTGGAGAGGCTTTTTAAAGGAATTATATGAAAAGACAGAAGTTATTTGAATAATTTTGTGCAGTTCCTGGCAATGAACTTGGAAACTTTTCCATGAAGTAGCTTTTCTCCATCAACAAAACTTTCCCCAAGGGACCACCTTCCACCCCAGCAAGAATGAGTGCACTTCCAGTACAAAAGTGAATGGTAGAGATATTGATATTCCTGCATTGGCCAACATTTGAGTATTGAGCAGTACTGAATGCAAAGCTTTTCTGCTCCTAGATGGGGAATGAAAATGTCTCCATGTCAAGCCATCGTCTGAGAGTGCTGGGCGTGCCCACAGAATTTACAAACTTGATGTTTTCCAAGTCCACTTCAGACCCTCTTCATTCATCAGACAACTCAGGTTGCCTGAGTGATTGCACCTGCTCACATTCTCAGTGCACAGAAGTATGTTGGTGATGGCCACTCAACATCTGTTACATTAGCAGCTCAGTAGGACCTGAACCTCCAAAATTTTAGGTATTAAAAAAAAGCACTTGAGGCATTTTTTCCCCTTTTTCTTCCCTCTGGATTCTGTCCCTTGTTTTATGTATTGACAGAAGAAAGAATGTGCAAATCAAAATGTCCATTAAACAGACTATTGGTCTTGTGGAGAATGGAAGTTTAATGAAGATTTAATTTTTAAGAATGTAATTCAACAGCTGGTCAAAGGCATGACTTGTTAATGAAACTGAGCCCTACACCATTAGGGTGACTGTTCTAGCAAGTAAATACCAACATGTGCAACAATATGATCTTTCTTTCTTAAGCAGATTCATACATTTAGTAAAACCGCATTTCAATAAGTGTGGATTTTTGTCCAGTGGTAAACAAACAGATCAGTACTATTTCTGTATATCTGAATCTGTGCTTTAGACACTGTAATTTTGCAAGGCTACTTATATCACTGTTTGGCAATGTTTCAATGAAAGCATCCTGAAAGAAAATCATATGCTCTGTGGCGAACATTAATACTACTAATTTTTAAATATCAGTCTTCTGATTGCTCTGAGCTACATGCAAACACACAAAATAATAAACTTTTTGCAAAGTAATGTAACCACCCCTTCATTTTTTTGTAGAGTTTGTCATGAAACTTCATTTATTTTACACTTTGGGCTTCTTCACTGTTCTCCTTGTGTCTTGTATGTCAGCATTTTAAGAACTCCAGGCAGTGGTGCTTTTATCTTTAATATTATATCAACAGATATTTTTTGCATACCGTAAGTTCAATCATAAGATCATTGACAAAAATTTAGTGCTGCCCTGTTTTTGCACTTTTATGTTATCGGAATCACAGTGATCCCTCCATCCTATGTTACCTCATGTTCTCTCTGATTGATACTTCCAGCGTTCTTTTAATTATTGGCCATATTTTCCAAATTCTAGCTGAAAGGCGTACCTCAAGGAGCCAAACATGTTCTGTGCTCCAAAAATGTTTCAGTAGATGGCTTCCCCTCCACCTTGAATGCTTTTGTCTGTCCCCTTCTACATGACCCAGTGCCCTACATACAACATATGGCATTCCGACAAATCCATTCTTCCAAGCCATGGCCTTTAAGAGTGCCCTGTGGGAGCAAAAGGGTTTGGGGACCACTGCAGTACAAAAAAAGGCTGCTATATCTAGTTTGCTATAGAGAAAGTTTTGTCTCATCCTGTCCAGTTGTGCACATAGGATATAAAACCATCCCTTGTTCCTCTCTATGAGCCGTGTGCATTACAAGTTATGCTTCTGTGGGGTGTCACTGCATTAATTTCTATATCGGAGTCTGTGGAAGCAGTAAGGGCATGTTGTGTTTGAAGTCTTGGTTCTGGTTATCAATGGTTTATCCAGACTGCTAAGCTATCACAGCTGAGGAAATGGCCTGCACAAGATAAAGAGCTGGTCTAGATTAGTTTTTTCCTCATAGGAATGGGAAGGGTCTTTCCACCTCTGTGTATGTACCTACAGACAGAACTGGTGAATGGTACTACTTGCCATCTGAAGTGCTTCATGCTACGGTTAATCTGTCTATGCAGTTGCTTTCTTGTATACACACCTTCTCCATTCTTTGTTCTCATATGCCTTAGATTATATTTCCACTTACTACTATCTTGGCTTTGGGGCATTTATGTACGAGTTCTGATTGTGGAATTGAAGGGAGCATACCCTTACTTACCCAGGCTGATTCCTTTTGCATGGGATACCATGCATGTTTTTAATCTGATGGTCACTCTGTTTTATGTTGAAACACAAAACTTCCATCAGAAACTTTCCTGATGGAAATATATCGGTGTTACCAGTCCTCCTCCTTTTCATTATTCAGGTTTTTTGTTGAAGTCACATACACATGACTATAATTCTTGTAAAGGCATATTTGTAGTTTGATTCCCACCTGTGGTGAAAGAAAATTTAGAGCAGCTATGAGTATAGCAATGGATTGACCAACAGCTCTTCCTACCAAGCCTTTTACTTTTCCTTCATACAGCCTTTTCTGGCTTACCCATTCTGCCTCATCTTTCTCCTTTTTCTGTTCTTTTTTCATTTGCTTATTCCAGTTTATGGCTCATTGATTTCATAAGTCGTATCAAGACCTCAGGTTCATCCCTAGGGCATAGACATCTGGAAAGCTGAAATAAGGATGTCGACATGAAAAGAAAGTGGAGGTGACTTGGCTTTATCTGCCAATCCACAAATAACTTGGTGAACAGAGTTTCTGGCCATGAAATCTGAATACCATTTAAGAAATAAAAAATTTGATTCACACCCAGTTTACTTTGGCTTCTGCTGAGGAAAATTATGATACAGGATGGTGTTGGCAGAGCAGTACAGAGGGCAAATTAGTGCAATGATCTTGTAAGTTGTTCCTCTCGGGATCTCATAGCCATCTAACGCAAACTGTAAGATGTTGATTAGAGTGGGTAAGGCTGGAGACCCAGGTGACTTATTCAGGGCAGAACTCCAGAAAGCATCGGGCTCCTGTGATGTTCTGCCTGCTGCTTAAAGCTGTTCTTCCTTAGTGACATCCCTGTGGCACACTTCTTGCCTTCCTGAATTTAACGAATGCCCTAGTCAAGCTGAAAGTGTCTCTGGGAGATAAAGTTTGCTTCTCTGTGCCAGTAGGTTGTTGTGAGCCACCAGTTTCCAAGCCTCATGTTTGGAGCACATGCTAGCAAAACACGACAGACTTTTACTATCAGGAGTAAGTGAGCAGTGCAAGCGCACAGACTACCTACCCTATTTCACAAAAGGAACTTTACAGCTTTTAGATGTGAATGCTAAGAAGCCATCCCAATTTCGGAGACACACACATTTTATTGGGTATTTTTGCTACTTCTGCATTGCACAAGAAATTTCACAGCTGAATGTTTTATTTCCTGGTACCTGCTGTATAAAGATGTGACAAAGCTCTTTTCAGAGCATCCTTTATTTTACAATTATGGTTTTCTCCTCCTCTATATAACAGCACTAGTTCATGTTACGAGTTTTTGCTATGCTATGTACAATGACATCCTGTTGGCCTCTTCTCTAGGCAGGCAAAATTCCCATTCACTGATAAGCTTGTCTGAGCAGAGACTGATCGTCAGCACTGAGGCCTGTTCTATGGGCAGAGCCGTAGCCCTTCTAAAGGTTTGCTTTCATTGCCTCCGGTAACGTCCAACTCTTACCACAGAACTGCACTGGCAGGACCACAGGCTATTATTGATGGGAACACGTCCATTAATTTCCTGCCACAACCTGAAGTCTGAGGCCAGCTGACCTCAGTGGGCAGTGTGCCCTACAATGTAACAGAACCAGAATTTAATCCAGAATGTCTTAATATATTAACATAGTAGATATTATTGAAACCTACATAACTCCCTTCCCTCTCTTCAATTCACAGCTACCTCATCCCTGAACTCCCAGCTTCAACAGCTTCAGCATCTTCAGCAGCTCCAGCATCAACAGCAGCAGCAGCAGCAAGGTCAGCAGCAGCAACAGCAGCAGCAAAGCCAGCAGCAGCAGCAAGGTCAGCAGACACAGACTCCACAGCCACCCCAGCAGAGCCAGCAGCCACAGACACAGCCGTCAGCGCCACCACAGCAGAACCAAACACAGTCCCAGAGCCAGAGCCAACCGCCTCCGGCCCCACAGTCCTCCAGCTCCCCTCAGAAGCCCAGCCAGTCACCAGGACATGGCCTTCCATCTCCTCTTACTTCACCAAATCCATTGCAGGTAGGACACTAAGTACAAACCTCTAACCGTCTAACAACAGAAAGTGCATACTCTCCCACTACAAGGGGAAATCAAGTGAAGGTTACACCTTCTGACCACACAGGCTAAGAAATTCCACTTCTTATTAATACTTAGAGGCATGCAGCTTAGAACAGCTAAAAGACCTGATAAACCAGAAAAGCATAACTAATGATGGTCCTAGTCTGCTCCTTTCTGAAGAGTAAACACCTTTTGCTCTTAAAGTCCGTATCATGAAACCCATAGAAAACTATCTAATTTTTTCCCCGGATTCAGTATGTGACCTTCGCAAATGGCGTTTACCCAGCAGTCACCTTTTATGGTAACTTATGAGGACAGCAGAGTTAGTTGTTCAGTAGCAGATGATCCTGACTGTCCCTAAAAGAAATAGAGCTTCTGCTGGTGGACATGTGCAAGGGCTGGATGGGTTATCCTTCCTCTTGAAATCATAGTCCTAACATTTATCCTGCTAAGGATCAAATACTTCTGTTAAGAGTCTCAGTATAGACTCCAAAGCTAAGAATGCCAGTAAATGTCTTTCCTAGATGCTCACTCCAATGACACAGATGTTTTCTAATAGACCAACAGCTATGGCACCCACACTGATGCTGGACTCTGCCTGTCTTGGAATTCCCAGGCAGAAACAGGAGACCTCTGATCCAATGGTCCTAATTTCTTGGTCCTTGGGTGTTCTTGCACTACATGTGTCATGCTATATTCACATCCTGCAAGAACAGCTTTGACTGTACCCACAAGTATGATTCTGAATAAACACCAGGGTAGTCTGTGAAGTGAGCAGAGTCTCTTTCACTGGGCAGTGGAACTGCACTTAGAAAACGGCAAAATCGCTATTCACTTTTTCTCTTTCTCTCACTTTCTATTCTCTAAATTTTGAGACCCCATTTTAAAGGTTTTATCCACACTGATAGATTCAGCTCAATTTCCTGCAGAAATTAAACTGCATTAACTTAATAATTAAAAAATCCTTTTTCAAACAATTAAGGGAATTGGTTTACAAGAAGCTGTGTTTGCCATGTGGCCAGTTAAACCTGCATTAATCTGAGCTTCAACTAAATTGCATCAAATCTGATTTTTAATGGTTTAGATAATAGACTTAAAAGTCCACAAGAGAGGTGTCATTGCTTCCTGAGCTTTTTCTTATAGTAGAGCATAATGTTTCTAGAGCTTTTTCTGTGTATTGTCTTAAGGGCTACTTAGGCACCCCTTAATGCCCAGTCTATCATGGTAGTGAGTGCTTTGGGACTCTTTAGTATGCAGATTATTGACATACAGAGACAGGAATATTTCCAGAGGAGCTTCTGTTACATTTTATTGTCTTGGTGCAGCTGTAATGTATGCACACTAACTGTACACACTATATGTTGCTAAAATTGCCTGCTAAACATTTTGCTTCAAAAGGCATTCAGTTTTCCAAACAAAGCAAATGCACACATAAATTAGAGATCGGGTAGGGAGGAAGTGGGATTATCTCAGTGAACATACCTCAAGAGGGTTGTACTAACACTGAATCTGAAGTCTTAGCTCTCGTATAGCCTCTGGTCCCAATCTAAATCTCAACTGAATCTCAGTACTTCCAGTCTCATCTGTGACCTACAGGTACAGGCCAGTAGAAGCACTTTCTACTGTTAGCTCTCCAGGGTCACATCTCACTTGCAGAAGTACAATAAAAGTAAAGCCAATAACTCCTTGCATGGGAGGTGCCAATGTCAATGTTTTCATGGAGATACTTTGGCACGTTGCCCTCTTTAGCATGCTTATCCTCACAACTACCCTTCTGAGCGCAGTCTGGATGTGGCAGACTCAACAGAAGTGGAAGGAGGGAACCAAGTACTCTGAGGTGGTTTTAGTTCAAACACTATCCCCTAAACCTTTTAGGAACTGGGATTAGAGTTAATGAAAGACACCAGCGTGAGAGGTCTGGCATTCCCACTGGGCTGAGCTCAGCCAGTACCACTAAGCCAGCTGCGTGACTGGGACACTTTCAGAACAACAGTCAAAGAATTAGAAGTCATTAGCTGTCAGCTCTGGCTCAGAATTAAAGAGTTACTAATAAACTGGGGAATAAGTATTTTTAATGTTCTTTCCTCTCTGATCCTTGCCATTTAAGTAGCCATGAAAACCCAAAGTTTGTTCACAGATACAAATACGCCATGTGCTGACATCCAGAAGAGAAGCCAGAATTCAGCACAGTACTTCAGGCCTCAGCTTAGCGATGTGTGTAGGGCCATTAATTTGGCCTTCTAGCCATTTCTACAGCATTTCTACAGCAAGCATAATACTTCTTAAGCTTCCCTAAGAAATACTTAAGAACTTGAAACATGCTCTGTCATATTGCTGAGAATGGTGAGACTCTTTGACATGCAAATAAGTGACACTCAGAAATATTTCCAGAGGAACTGCTGTTGCACTTTATATATGGTTGAAGGATGTGTTCAGGTACTTTTCTAAAGCAGGGCAGTGGTAAGATCTCGTCCATGAAATTTGTCATTCCATTCTCAATCCTGCAGAGAAAAGCTGTTTTACCCCCATACATCTAGCTTGAGGACTTGATCTGAAATTGTTTTCTTCTGCACAAACATTAAAAAAAAAAAAGAAAAAAGGAGGGAGCACATTTTTGCCAGCAATTCATATACCCAGTTCATAATAGCTGCTTAGAATGTGGATTTTTTTAATGTCTAATGCTTTAACTTAAAAATCGACCTAGAACAAAATTCAGAGATATTATGGCCTCTAAGGTAATGTTCTTTATGAACTAGAATGAAATGGGTTTTGTTTGAAGAATATTAAGGGAATAAAGATCAACTAAGTTAAAGTTTGACAGCTTAAATTTCATTTCTGAATTCTTGATTTTTTCATGTGGGCTTTATCCTCTTACATTATTCAGGATCTGTCTGAAAGATATTAGTTTAGAACAATACAACCTCAAAAAATTGTCATGGAAAGTCAGTAATTCAGGAGGATGATTGTGTTTGTTTCAAAAAACTCTGAAGGATAACAGCAATTACATCTCAAAATGTACAGATGCTGTCATGTCCTTCAGAAGGCAAATTAAATGAAAGTGACTTGCTTAGGTATACCTGGGTGAGGTACTTTTGCTAGCTGATCAGAAATTAATAATACCAGTGCAGCGTACACCAGCTAAAAGTCTCAGAATGATTCTTGTCAGATTGTTCTGTAATACTCTGTTCTAATTTTATCACTATTCTTTACTCAGTTCAGTGGGCTGGATTGTAGTTACAAAACTATTATTTTTAGGAAGTCTTTTAATGATTGTGTAGAAAGATGAAAAACTTCACTTTAGGTTCCAGGGCCTGGATTCTGTGCTGACATTAGTGATGATACTCTAGATTAACACTGGTAAAAGCAAAACACTGCAGAACCAGGGTCATCACTGGTTTGCAAAAGACAACAAACCAGAGGAGAATTCTCCAAAGCAGAGCTGTATTACAGGAGGTGGTAGGTCAGGTAGATGATGGAAGACTTTCATCCCTTCATTTTAAAATGGTGAAATTCCTCATATAGATAATCATAGTCTGATTTTTACTTTAATTGTGTCAGTTGATTGAGACAAAGGAATCCAGAGGTGAAAGACAACCTAGCTCACGTTGTGAACTGGGGACTTCAAAACCTTTACTTCTGGGAAAATACACTTCTCCAAATATGCTTCTCCTGCAAATGTTTAATGTTATTACATTGCAAACTATACAGGTTCTTGAATGGTCAGCATGTTGCAACTTTAAAGCATAGTTAGCGCCTCTTACAGAGTTTCCATTCAATTAAATTTCTGGAGCCATAAGATCTTGATTATATGCTGTATAAAATCAGATGAGGCAAGTACTAAGTAGCCAATTATTCTGCTTGACTACCAGGATAACGCACTTTATATCAGCAACATATATTTAACTGGCTCCAAATGGGGGTTAGCTTCTGGTGCTGATGCTCACTGTATGTTTTAGCGGTATGGATAAGACGAACGTACCCACAGCCAGATCTACAAAGGGAGAGCTGCACTATAGGAATAGAAGAATTCCCAATGATTTCTACTGCTCTGTTCATGTGTGAATAGGAACAGACAAACAGGAAATCCCCCAGGGATTGCCCCACTGTAAAATTATTCTGGCCGTTTTCAGAACTCTTTCCTAAAGCGCCTTTTTGTCATAGAAGCCTACCTACAATAACCGGAGCTGATGGAAGATGATGAGTGAGAAAAAAATAATAATAAAAGGAGGGAAGAAGGGAAGCGAGGAGATGACAACAGCAGGAAAATCTTCCAAGTAATAGCAAACTCTAGGATAGCAAAACCAGAACCTCCTTCAGATTAAATTTTCATGCTAATCTTAAATAATGTATTTGGAATCTCAACACTTTTATAACAAAGGAGAAAAGAAAAGCAGAAAGGCTGAAACACTCAGCTGTAAATGAGGGAGAATGTGTACACAGATGCCTGAGGCTCCAACAGTCACAAAAACCAAACCGCCCCTTCCCTTCCCCCCCAACCTCATTCACTGGTTAGCTTCTCATTAAGGAAAAATCTACTTTAAAGAAATCTCAGTGTTTACTGACACTTTGATAAATCTACATATATTTAAGGTACAGAAGAAACAACAAAGTCTCTGTTGGTTTGAGGAAGGCAACTGGGATAAATTTGCAAGGACTATAGTCTTGGGCTGTCTTTATGTCTGTATTCGCATCCAAGACCTACTGTATTTTTCTCGTGCTTATTGAATCCTGAGATCCTTGATCAAGATTATGACACCACTAATCCCACTGAGGGGTTTTTTAGTTTTGCTAAAATTATCTAGTCTTCTTCTTGTATATGATACTGTGCAATGTATGACTGTCTGAATCTGTTCCAAAGTTATTTGGTAATCAGTTTGACAGAGAAATATTTTATAAATGGTGAGTAAATGCAGTGCTTTGAATCCATTTTCCAAAATTTCCTGATTTTTGGTATCAATAGG